TCAGGAGTCGTGGTTTCCCACCCCCTCCCCCCAAAAAGAATAAAAGCAAAGAAAAACAATAAAGGGACCCTCCCAGGTCTACCTCACTGTCTACTCCAGGGATACTCAACCACGGACCCTTGAACCCCCTGATGCCCCCATGTTGCCTGATGGCAAGCCAGCCAGCGACATCCTTGCAACTTGTCGGTATTCTTCATCAGAAAGGTCTCCACGCTGTATACTACCTGGAGGCATGAGCAACGAAGCTGTCTTCGGCGAGCGGATATTCCGTGGGCGTCCGTGGGTGTGCAAGGGTGTCCAAGGGAAATACCATACTTCTGGGGAGTGTCCGGTGTTCGATAAGGTCGTAAAAAAAAACGTACAAGGCCACGACGGCTGATGATTTGAGGTGAAACTCTCTGCATGACTTTGGGACTCTGGACACATTCCAATGGCCTAAGTCCTTCATGTGTGTTCCTTGTTGCTAAAAGCAACGGGGCAAGAAAGCAAGCAAGCAAACCAAACCTACAACATCCTTGACTCATTTGGCACCTGCACAAACATGGGTCCGGAGCACCTACCAAAAGCGAGTTGAAGTGGTGCCTCCCCGGCGTAGTGCGCCACCGCGAAGTCCGTATTGCCAAACCGCGAGGCTTTGTAGATGACCTGGCCGCGGAACGGAAAAATCGATCTCATAGAACTTCATTGATCGAAGAAGTGGCAACCTCTGCAGTGCAAGGCACATGGTGTTTTGGAGAAGGCTTGGACTTGCATTTGGCGCCTGCCAACACCTGACTCATGAATCAGGCGAGCTCCTTCTCAAGTCCAATACGTTGGTCACGCCAATGCAAGCGAACAGCGGTGGGATTTTGTAGTCTCCGCATCAACATAATGAAACCCACAGCGCTGCAACAAGGCATTGCATGACCTCGACCCTTGCACACCAATGGTGCGATCTGGTGCTGTCGAATTTTCCGAGAGCTCTTAGAGAACTCCAACATATACAAATTCCGAAGGTCCAATGGTGCAATTTGCCACCTGTGCGAACAGTTTACTTCTTCAGAAGACTTGCCAAGCCTCGAAATTCTCCCCTCCCAACCAGAAGGGGCGTCTTCTTCGCCTATGGTCTACCCTCTTGTGCTTGTTCTTGTTTTTCCTGTCGGCCCAGTTGGACCCAACCTCGCTTTGGGCTCGGACGTTTTTAGCTGCTTCCCGGAAATGCTGCAACTCAGCGAGGGGTCCCCTGAAACAAAAGAACAGCACACGCAGGCGATGGATTCAGAAAGCATCCAACTGATGGGGGAGGGGGGTCAACCCGTTCTGCCTGTGCAGGGATCTCTGGACGTCAAACACGCGTGGGGTCCATGAAGGAGTTTTTGCGGGGGGACGAATTCTACCAACATTTTGTCTAAACATGTTGAGACACATCTTGCTCCGCAGAGTACCAAGGACCAAGATCTGCATTGGTTATACTGATTTTGAGTAGAACTGAAAAACAACAAGCAGTAGGTCAGTCCGGCAACACGCTCTGATTATCTGGAGTTCATATGGGTACATCAAATCCCTCCACCCGGAACCACCAAACCCACTCATTTCCCTGAGGCCGCCCCAGCGTGGCGCTTGTGCACCTGACATTTGAACCAAATGTTGACCCCATAGAAATCAACTCAAATGTTCAGGGTCAAATGTTAGGTGCAACTTCCAAATGTTGACCCAAATGTTTATTACTCAGCGAGTGTTGGGTGAAATGTTCTGGGAATCCGACCACTTTTGGAGGGGCCCGGCGACAAAAGAGTTTGCTCCGAGGTCACAGAACCAACTAGGTCCTCCAGTAGAGAGGTTAGAACAAGGGTACCCATTTTTTTCTGTGGTCTATTTTAGTAGGGGAACCCTCCCAACCAAAAAAGAATAGAAAGGGGTTAACAAGGGCACCTAGCTGGGTGACCTAGCCAAGGTCTTGCCTGTGAGTTCTTGAAGGCGTTCTGGATCTTCGAGAAGAGCGACGCATCCGTGGCCGCTGGCATCAGGCACTCAGAATCCACCAGGCAGAAGAGGCCTCGCGATGTGAACCCAACGAAGATGACACATACGTTTTTCGCTGAAACAGACGACACGGTCTTTTTTACGGAGGGTGCTTTTTCTTTTTCAGGTTTCAAAGGAGAATCCAAGGGAACAACGCACCATCTGAGAGAACAACACCCAACTGGGTGCAGACACTTTGCGGGTTCAGAAACACAGCCAAGATGGGAAGGAATACCTTCAGGCAACTCAACATGGGCATGTCGAATGGACACACGCAAGCATGTCAAATGCATCTAGCTGAATGACAACAAATCAAAACCCAAAACAAAGGGCCCACAACAAAGAACCCATGGGGGCCGCATGGTGTTACAGAATACCTGCAACCCTTCATGTTCAGTCTGCGACACCATATCCACAAGAGCCGGAAAGCTGACCAAAAAAAACCTGCGACTGCGGACTGAAATCCCGGTGCCTAATGGCCGCTTGTCCAATGTGTCGATGATGTGCTGATTGTCCTGGCAGTTTCTCTCAAGCCTCAAACTCGGGTACAAAAACCACGTGGTTTTCTCCAAATGGTTTCGGAATCGGGGCTTCTCTTTAGTCTACTAGCTTTAAAAAAAAAGGATACCCTCTTGTCCAACCCTCCAAACAGTCTAAGGAAAAGGGTCCAAACCAGGACCCACGTCCGGTTCCATGCAAACGTGGATAGGCAGTTGCAAAGGGAAACCTCACGCAGCATGCCGAGCCGGGCTCAGCACGGTCCTGCCAGGTGATGTGGCTCCAAGTGATGCCCTCAGAGCTGTAGAGGCGCTGCTCCAAGGAGAACCTCGAAATGGCCAAGGGAACAGTGCGAGTTCGGTTTCCCCAACATGGAACTAGTAAACGGATGTGTGGACGATTTTGGGGAAACAAAAATCCCCCATGTCCCCAAATGAAACATAGACTGGACCATAAGCAACGGGTCATTTTGACCAACCTCATGTGATTCAAGTGAACCTACCTATCTCAGTCCCAACATATATGTCCCAGGAATACTTGGTGACCCTAAAAATGTGAAGTAAGCTTAGCAGAAAGCTGGAAGCTGCAATCCTGCAGATTAAGCTGATTCAGCCTGGAGGCCAAAGTCAGGGTCCCGACCTCAAAACATGATCATCTACAGGGGAGTACCTCAACTTCCCCCCGAACAAAAACAACATGTTTGAGATTGTAGCCCATATTTGTGAACACGGTGAATGTCCCATGAGTCACACATAAAAGCTTAAAGTAAAGGCGTCTACTCCAAACCTGTGGGACAAAACAATCGACAAACAAAATATTGCCGTTGCTGCTTCTTTAATGGCAAGGCGACTCTTCATCACAATATGTCATTGCTCTTGTCCATCCGCCCAGCCCATCCCAAGACTCGCCCACTGACTGACACATAGATCTCGGCCTTTGATGTTGACTAATCAGTGTTATAAAGTCAGAAATTGAGGGTCATATCCCGTAGACCTACCAGTTGGGGGGAGCCACCCTGCTTAGCTGCTATAGATTGGGAAAGGGAAGCGGGCATGATCAGGCTCAGACCAAACAACCTCAAACATCAAAGCGATCGCCTCGCAACTGCACGCTGAGAGCGCGCCTCTGCCTCCCACCCACTGTGACACTGTTGGGGGACGAACCTCCCCAGAATAACCTGGAACCCAAGCATCCATACCATTGGAACGACATCTCTTTTGGGGGTATCCCTGGTCTCCTTTTCTTCATTTGCAGGGAAGAAGGCCCTTTGGACGTGTCTGTCCTTGCTTCCCTCGACCCATCCAACTGCACCAAAGGTTGCTCCCGGGCTGCCTCCGAAACGCACCCATCAGGTGTGACTACGATTCCACGGGCAAATCCAAAACCAAGCATTGGGCGGAAACCAGGCAAGACACCACCGCTGTTAGTGGGTCAATAGGACTTGTTCAACTGTTGGTTGGTTACCAACTAACTTAGCAATTTGCCATGGCAGGCTTGCAAATCAACGCACCTCGCAACTAATCAATGCATGTACCCTCTCCCAGACTAACATGGAAAGAAGACTTGGTTCCATTTGCAGCCAATTGGGGTAGCTTCCGGCTGTTAGTCTGAGGGAGTGACAACAACGGAACATTCGAGGAGCATGTGCGTGTTGAAGTGCTGCTGGAGCTTCTCGTTGGAAAAATTGATGCAGAGCTGCTCGAAGGAATTCCTGGCGCAAAGAAACAACAACAGCCGGTGTCCTCTGAATTTTAACCCCATGAAATCCTTAGGTACATAATGGTGGTTGTATTAAACCCCATTGTTTGCATGGTGGTTCCCCAGGGTGTCTTTGCTTTGTGGTGCCCTATTTGGAGCAGTGTTTAAGGGAAATCGAAGGAACACAACAACCAGACCTTCTTGCTCTCAGTAAATATGGGAATGACCTCCGCCGTACCGCGAAGAGATCCTGGAGAATGCTTGACGGGCATATTTTAGCACTACCCACTGAATTATCAACTCAAAGCGAGCGAGAAGCCATGTCAAGGTGAGCATCCGTGGACACGGTTGAAGGCAGCGCGCATGACATCTGGCCCCAAGTTTGACACCTCCTCGCATACGGATTGAAGCGAAACGGATGTACGGTTCCCTCACTAAGTCAAATAATCATCCAGGGCTTGTGCTTTCAGCGGCTCATGAGGTTTTCAGTGTAGCCTGCCAGATAGGGAGAAGGTGTTCAAGAGACGATCCCCCTGCAGTGTCATTGTCCAAGTTTGCACCACCCAACAGGAGCAACTGCACATGCTGAATGCATATTCATATTTAACCAAGAGAAACACGCCCACCTGACAGGATCGAAGGTTGCGCCCGACGCCCGACTTGGCCAAGCCGCCACTCGAAGACTTCAAAGCCATAAATATCGAGCAGCCCGATCTTCCGCACATCCTGGCGTGGAAAAAATGGCGCTACGGCTCACTTGAAAAAGGAACAGGGCCCCAAAAGTGGGTCTCACCTAACATCCAAGACATCTGTTGGATCTCCCACTTTGCTTGCGGTTTGATTCTGCTTTTCAGAGCCATTTTGGCAGCTTCGGAGGCCTCCGATTTACGGAAGCAAGAATCGATTAGGACTGGCAAAGTCCCAAGGGACACATTGCCTCTAACAAGGGAAACTGAACTGACCTTAAATGGGCCAACAAGGTGAGCCATACTCAAAACAGATCGGTTTAAAAAGGCCAAAATCTCAGAACCATGCTTCAAGAGTTAGAAAGGCGGCGAAGGCACCATGTATTGGGATTATCCCTTACTAACCTTCTGCTACCCGGGTTTTGATTGTGGCTCAGGTGATCTCTGCAACTAAAAGGGAAATCTAGGGACCTTTGGCTTTGATGCTGAAGCTGCCGGCTGATTTGACGAGCCCGCCTTCTGCTGGCCACGGCTGCTGATGCTCTCGTTGATGCGCCAAACCAGCCAATCAAAGAGCCGCGCCTGAGATTGGGACTTCCCCTCAGGACATTTTATGTATACAGGTGTGTATATATATATATATATATATGTATGTATATACATATATATATATATGTATTAAACATCTAAAACTATTATATACTGTCTCTCTCTCTATACATATATATATATATGTACGTGCATGCATATATACATGTGTTTATGCATATATGTATATATATATATATATATATGGTGCCCCCCCCCCCCCCCAAATGTCGACCGTTTCGTCTGTCTTCATCTGTGATACCCACTACATCTGACTCTGCAAAAGGAACAATACTCTCCAACTCAACCGTTTGAACCGTTTAGACCGGTTGAACCCTTTCTCAAAGGAAAGGTCTGGGCCCAAAACCGTTTGAACCGTTTAAACCCTTTCCCAGACAAAAGGTCTGGGCCCAAAACCGTTTAAACCGTTTAAACCATTTAAACCCTCTCTCAGAGGAAAGGTGTGGCCCAAACCGATTGAACCGTTTGAACCCTCTCTCAGATGGAACCCTGGACTTTCATTTGAGAGAGGGTTTAAACGGTTTAAACGGTTTTGGTCAGAACCCTGGAAGGGGGGGGGCGGCTTTGCTCTGAGAAAGGGTTAAAGCGGTCTAAACGGTTTTGGGGCCCTGGCTCTTGGGGTTGGGGGGGAAGGGGGCGGGGGGGCCTTGGCTGAAACGGTTAAAACGGTTTAAACGGTTGTAGGCCTTGGGGGGGGGGGGGGTGTCTTTCCTCTGAGAAAGGCTTTAAACGGTTTGGGGGCCAATTGTCTCAGAAAGGGCGACAATGGTGCAAACGGTTTGGGGCCCTGACTCTCTTCTTTGCTGTTGTTTTTGGGATCTTCTGACCAAACCTCAGCTCAAAAACAGGACAGAGGTAGATCCAAACCAACTAAAATTTCATTCGGGCCTGGATTCAAGATTCGCTGGAAAAGTGTTTAACCTGAAGCTTGCAGATTGTCTTTGGACATGTGCTCTTCTTTTGCTGCTCTCCCAAATCCCCCAAAAAGTAGAAAGCGCTGCACATATACCTATGAATTCTGAAAAAGTAATCTAAATAGGATCTCCTTTTCAAAGACTATTTTTAATTCGAATGTTTATGTCAAATTTGACTTCAAAGGCGGTCTCCTTTTTCTTCTTGTTTCAGTTTAAATAGAATTTAAATAGGCTTTCCTGTTCAATGAAGATTTGTAATAAATCCAATTAACGCCATTCTTTTAAGAGAAGCCTCTCTAAAATATCGTTAAAACCAGACACTCTACTAGAATTCTGTCATTATGATCAAACGATAAAATTGAAAACGATTCAAAGTATAATTTCGATTCTTTCACGTGAGATTCTAGGATCGTGTATTCAATTCAAAAAAAAGAGTGGAGTTTAGTCAGGAATAATCCTAGTACGATTGCTAGTTTAGAGCGAATCTAAATAGGTGCCCTTTTCAAAATCAAAATTGAAATTGGATTTTAAATCATGTTCTAGTTGTATTGTTTGATCAGACATTAAATAGAACTAGAGTGTCTAGTTGTAACGATAATTTAAGTCGTTTGTTAAAATCATATTCTTAATTGGAACTCTTACTTCAAATTCGACTTTGAAGCGGGTCTCTTTTTCTAGGATTGAGATGTCCAATGAATTTAGACAGTCATTAATAGTGAAACATCCTAATATAATGTCTAGTCTTAAAGATGATGCAAATGTGATTTCCTGTTGGAAGAATATATTTAACTGTAATGCTTACTTCAAGATATATTTTAAAGAGGACGTTCTTTCCCAGGATGTTGTTCCCAGTTTCTAATTAGAATCTAAATAAATTAAAATAAGGCACCTTGTTCTGCTGCTTTCCCCAAAGCACAAAAAAGGCATAACACACCGCAAATAGCATTGACACCAACAAAAAGGTCGACATATAGGGGGGGGGTAGCATATATATATATATATGCATTTAATATGTCTATCAAGAGGTGTTGGTTTGTCGAAATTAGGCGGCCCTGTGGGCAGCTGGTTTTCATTGGGTTTCTCTTGAAGGCATTCAAAACAAGCCTCATATTTTGAAGTAGTCCCAGAAACGTAGATAAGTATGTGTGTGTCAATTTTAGGTGGGGACGCTGGGCATTATTGTCACGCGGAGTTACTGCATGCCCGCCAATTGTGTTTGGGGGAGTTCAATGGGCGGGTCCGTATTGACATGCGCAGTCATTTTGAAGGTTCCATCCTTCCCAGTCTAATTCCTCCCCTGCAAAGAGAGCCGTTTTGCCAAAAGAGATTCCGTTCCTGAAATAGGCGGCTTTTCTGTGGGCTTTCTTCCGTTGCCCTCTTTCCAGCAATCACAAAAGTGGAGAGGAGGGTGCTTCACGAAAACTGTAGTCTTCCCCTTCTGACAGCTTCCCTGTTGGCAAAAGGGTACCTATGTAAGAACAATGGATGGGCAGAATCAGTGGTTGCTGGTGTACCGAACTCAAACTCTGAAAATCTGCAGGCGAAAAGCCCCCCCCCCCAAAGAAAAAGAAGGAGGGGGGTCCGGGAGCCGACCGATCCAGTCCCCGGCCGCGGCACGTAGACCACTTTGGCCATGGAGTGGCGCGTGAAGGAGGCGGAGGAGACATCGTGCCTGCAGTCTCAGGAATGATCGCTATAATGTTGACCCCGGATTTATGAACCCCTTTTCTTGATCTGGAGTGTGCTTCAGAAATGATGTTTTTCGTTGGTTCCATGTATAATGTTGACCCCGGCAATAAAAAACAAGGTCCCTTGAATGGGGACACCCCCCTATTCATCAACCAGGGGATTGTTAATTATTATCCCATCATTCAAGTGGACAGGACTCCCCAAAAGGAACGTAGTCTTCCTTTTGACCCTTCCGTTTGCTTCTAGGATTGTTGTGAGGCTAAATCACCAGGAACCCTCTCAAAACCAACTGGGAAATTGCTGGTTGCCGACATTCTGTCCTGTATAGAATCCGCCCTGGAAAGCCCATGGTTTACCCAAAGGGCCCACCAAAGAATTCCTCAGGGGCCCCAACTAAGTGATGATTCATGATAATTAAGGGAGCCCATTCAAATATGGCTGGTTACCCGTGGCTGGGGTACATTTTATCATTCGTATGTGATATACTCTCCCGTCCACAAGAAAAATGACCCCTTTTTGCAAACCAGGACCTCCACCCCCAGTCAGCCGCTTTAGCAAATGGCCGGTGCATGAGAAACAACCAACACGACCCGGAGATTCCACCAATCTCAAATCAGAGATCCAACGAGCACAGCACCTTCTGCGTGAATTATTCTAATTCAGCATCCGAAAGTATGGGTTCTGTATGCAAGGAAGGATCGTGGATTGGGTCGCCGGGTGCCCCACCACTCTTTGTAACGTCTGCATGTTGCCCTGAATCTTTATCACAGGCCCTAATGGCGGAAAACAACCCTTTGCTACGGTACTACCTGGCCCATCCACCAACTACAAAATATCACTTCAACGGTGATGCTGGTATCGCAGAAACAGGCTTCAAATTCCGCTTGCTCATCACAGGCCTCACAGGCCTAGGTGTCCATTTTGAAAATCGACGCTGGGGCCTCTGGATTGCGCGTCATGCGACCCCGAGTCGACGCTTTCCAAGCAAGTCGCGGCATGTGGATAATCTTCTCGGTCAAAGGATCCTGGCATGGCAGGATGGCCAAATGGGTGGTACCAGTGGTACCCCTTTCCGGGGTCTTGAAAGGAAAAGAACATCTTCTATAGGTGTTCATAGTTCGGAACGAAACCCAACTGGCCCTTGCCACCAGAAAGTAACACCAAACAATGAGACACAGTCTCCTTGTGCTGGCCCCAGGATTTGACCATCGGCGTCACCCCGCCGACAAAAGGATAAAGGGTTAAAGGAAACCTCTTCGATACTTCCCCCAATTAAGTGAAATCATGGGCCTGGTGATGCCGCTATGCATCAGCTTCGGCATTTTGTTCTAAAAGCCCGCTGGTATAAAAGACGTCAGATCTTCTGCTCTGCCGCTGGTGCTCCAGCCTTGAATGAGGCGGTCTTACTGTTTTACCAGCCGAACACTCCTCACAAAGAGGGCAAACAACTGCCAACAGCTGGCGACATGGGCAGCTGGCGACATGGGAAGCCCAGTTTTCGTCCTCCATTTTTTCCTGCCCCCTGGCAAAAAAATAAGAACAAACATGTTTCCAGTAGTGGTTGATTCCTTTTAAAACCAACAGGTGAGAATCAAAAACATATTCTTAAACCAATGGAAGTCGGTTTCCATTTCCTCGCGCCTCCAGGGTCTTGTGCTCCAGCACCTGGCGCATCTGCTCCGGCGCCAGGCCCAGCAGCTCGCAGGCCAGGGCCAGGCAGCTGTCCTCGGCAGGCTTTCCGACGAGAACCGATGAGGTACGGGGAAACATCTTTGAACGCCCTGGGTCCCAAGGCAAGCTACGACACAGCCCATTTTCGCACACCGGGTTTCCTATGGAGTGAACACGGTGTAGTGTGATTCACTGTGGGTTGACGACAGCGCCTTGCGCTGATTGGGCCGTGGATGATGCCAGTCTCCGAGACCGAGTTGCCGGAAAAACTGACGAATTTGTCCCAATAGTTGTTCGTTGTTCGTCCATCCCAAACAGTGCTGGATTCTAAGCATCCACAGCAGCAGGATGCCCTGCCTCGGGCTGGCTTTAAGAAAACTAAAGAACAAATTAGGAGTTCAGCCATTTTGAGACTAAAACACAACAGGAGAAACGTATGGGTGTGATTTGTGTGAGGCTACCAACCTTTTTGTTTGTAACATGGAACACCACCTTCAGTTTGTTGGGGAATGGCAGGGACGCACGAGGTACATTCCAAACCCATCCAAAAGGCAAGAGTTTGCGTAAAGTAGACAACCATCCATCTAAGCATCTTCCTGGGTATTGGGAAGTGTCATGGGAGCGACCGACTTGAAGCTACCCCCTTTCTAGGCTGCAGGGAAGCCAAAAGGAACACCGCCAGTTTAGGGAGGAGATTTGCGACAAACCCGGTACTTGGATGTGTACACCACTTTATAAACAGGTAATTTCAACATGGTCATATCTCAACCGAGCTCTTACTTGTTCACCATGACTATATCATATCAATATCTGCTTGGGTGTGCCAAAAACCGGGATTTGGACCCGAAAAGGGTGAATTCCTTTAAACCACCCCAACAATTGTGCAAAACTAGGACATGAAATGACTTGTCTTACGTTGAACATCCAAGCAACCCCCGTTTCATGCCGAGTCGCATTGGTGACACTGACGCCATCAGCACCGTTTTTGGCGCAGGGCGCAAACTGAAGTTCTCCTGAAGCTGGCGCTTGGGGTATCCTTTCGCCTTGGTTTAAGCGAAACCAGAAGGAAAGCCGAAACCATGTTTGAGTTCCCCCTCAGAGCTTCCCAAAAAAGGAAAATGGAGAACTGCGAATGGCTTTGCGTTTGCATTTTGCTTTGCCTTGGAAATGGAGGACTGGGAACGCCTACAAATGGCTGTCCAGTTTCGTTTCATGTCCCTATATTCAAACAACAACCATCGCGCTGAGCGCTGAACAGTACAGGTACACATGGAATATGATCCTGAATACCACCTTGGGTGCGGCACTTAGAGCACGATTGAACGGTGTGAAACTGTACCAGTGGAAACGGCCGGCCATATTCTTTGATTCAGCTTTGACATCTCCGGCAAATTCAAAGCTGCATGGAAGCTAGCTGCGCACAACACTAATGATTACTAATGTGAATGCTGTTTTTGCCAGTTTTGCACCTGGTGCCACAAACAAAAGTTCCAGTCAGAGTCTCCACAAAAAGGGGAGGCCTTGACGTATTGCCACGCACACGTCTCGTCGTCTAATCAATGCGCATGCATGCCTGCAGAACTAAATACTGTTTGCATTTGTTCTTTCTATTCACATTCTTTGTTTTTGACACATGCGTTGAACGAATTTATCACGCTGGCATGCTGCTAGGACTTTACAGGTTTTGCATTGATCCAGTTTGCCATGTTGAAGTCCCCTTGAGCATCACCCGCCGACACGACCGTTCCTAGGTGGAGTACCGCCGCCGCGATGCGGAAGATGGTGTCTCGCTCTTCCTGCGAAAAATTGGACACGGACCGAATGGTGTTTTTCTTAATGAGAAGAAAAAACCAAGGAGCATTCAAGACTCGTCGGAAGGGATTCTCAACTGAAGATGGCCACCCCCTTTCTGTTGGCTGCTGAAGGGAAAAACCAGAGGCAACCAACCATGTGCTGTGTGTTAATTTCTCAAGCAAGCCAGAAGAAAAACTATACTTTCTGTCAATCTGTCTGCAGTTTTCGTGCTTGCAGGAAACTCCGAAGACAATGCAAGGACAAATGCCAAAAGAAAACAACAAAGGAGCAGCCATCCCAGACCCATAGCCGCAAACCTACCCGAAGCAGTTCCCCCCTCTGCACACCGGTGAGGTTGGGCAGATGGGTCTGGCAGAGAGCACAGTGTGCCATCTGGCGACCCTGAATTGCTCGGGCAGCCCCTGGCCGGCCCCCCCAAAAGCCCTCTCACCGAGCAGATCCGTCCAGGGCGCCTTTTGGGAGCCATGGCTCTCAGACAGGGCAGTGCTGGAAATGAGCTGGTGGAGGTTGTGCCGCTGGTGCTGCAAGCTGCTGCAAGAGGCACCCCAGAGCGCTAATATTTGCGCAACACATGTGACTACACATAAGCATGTATACATACATACATCGTGCTTACCATGGTGGCACTTTCTACGCGCCATGCGCGCACACATGCACACATGCACACATACACGCCTACATACGCACATGCATGCATGCATGCATGCATACATGCATGCATGCATACATGCATACATTCATTACATACATACATACATGCATACATACATACATACATACAAACATGCATACATACAGTACATACATACATACATACATACATACATACATACATACATACATACATACATACATACATACATACATACATACATACATACATACATACATATACATACATACATACATACATACATACATTACATACATACACATACATTACATTACATACATACATACATACATTACATACATACATACATACATACATTACATACATACATACATACATACATACATACATACATACATACATACATACATACATACATACATACATACATACATACATACATACATACATACATACATACATACATACATACATACATACATACATACATACATACATACATACATACATACATACATACATACATACATACATACATACATACATACATACATACATACATACATACATACATACATACATACATACATACATACATACATACATACATACATACATACATACATACATTACATACATACATACATACATACATACATACATACATACACATACATACATACATACATACATACATACATACATACATACATACATACATACATTACATACTTACATACATACATACATACATACATACATACATACATACATTACATACATACATACATACATACATACATACATACATACATACATACATACATACATACATACATACATACATACATACATACATACATACATACATACATACATACATTACATACATTACAGAGCATTACATACATTACATTACATTACATTACATTACATTACATTACATTACATTACATTACATTACATTACATTACATTACATTACATTACATTACATTACATTACATTACATTACATTACATACATACACACATACATATGAGGCGCTGGCCATGCGCTACAAGGTGTCGAAACAAGTACAGCAGTTTATTCTGCTCGTAGAGGAAGTTACCATAGGTTCTGAGTAGTACTGCAATCAAACCAGGCACTGCTAAACACGCATCAAGGCTGTCTGGACCAACCTTGGCACGGCACCAAGCAAGAAACAGGTCCCATTGCTCAATACCAAGCTTCAAAGTTGCTGGCCTGATCAGCTCCACACTTTCTAGATCAGGCACCGACCGCACTGGATAACGTCTCTGGGGGCCTGGGTTCTTGGCTTACCAATACAGCGATGTACCTTGCGTGGCAACAACTGCAGCTCGTAAGCTGCTGCCCAAGCCAGCTTACTGCAAAGCTGACAAGGGTAAGGCTCTGCGACTTTGGTCCAACAGCACTTATGTAAAGAGCTCCGGCCCCTCAGCTGGATGTGTCGGTGGCCCCCTTTACAGAAGTCACGCTGGTCACGCAAACAGCTGTTGGTGCAGTACCACGTGCGTTTTCTCCACTTGGTGTGGAACCGGCAGAAATCACAGAAACCCAAGCTATAACAAGCTATAACTTGCTTGATGGATTTTTGGTACCAAAAGAAACTAGTGTCGGGATTCTCGACCCAGAAAATGATATGAAGTGCACAGCAAAAGCCAATGATTTCACTAAGCCAAGCGCGGAAAGAGTTCCCCTCTAACACTTTTGGATACATTTTGGGGCGAGAGAACTTTAGTCCTATGATACCAGCAGGATGAAGCTTATTCCTCACCGGAGGAGTGATTGCTCGGCAGAATGAAGCACAAGTTGGCGCTCCGGAGAGGTGGTCAACCGCTCCGCCCTTCAGTAGTACCTCAATTGATCGGCGGACCCCTTTCTTTGTGAGATCTTGGTTTGGGCTATCATTTATTTCGAAGGTGAGCACCCACGGTGCCCCTGCTTGTGTAGCAGCCCTCGCAAACCCGTTGCGACCCGAGAAGAGGTCGATGAAACCTCGTTCCGTAGGTGGCCAACATTCAGGATCTCTCAAAATGAACGTGTGAGGGAAACGGGAAACTCATGAGAACTGCGTGGGCTTCCTCAGTCCAAGGCAAATCACTGCTATAGGGTATCTAACACCTTAGCTTTATGCCGTTCCATACCTGCAAAGTCACCGCGCTGAGCGGCGATCCACAAGCTCGGGGCTTCTGACCTCGCTACCTCTAGTAGGGTTGTCGGCTGGATTATATTTGGTCCTGGTATACCCCGAAAAACTATATACGCCCAGCCCTAGGCAAAAAGGAAGGCGTTTCTGCAGCTCGTGGTTTAAGGCTGGGGATGCAGACCGACCTTTGTTGATGGCGCCTAAACACACTTGGCTGTCACTGGAAATGCCAACACGGACATCTCCACCTCTGGCTGCTGCATCTTTTTCGGCCATGATGAACGCTCGCAACTCTCGATGTGCCTGCCGCTCTTGGCTCTACGTTTGGTGACCAACTTGAACTGTAGGCAGCGGGCTGCAGTCTCCCAAAGCGGGTGCTCGGTGTAGCAAGGCTCTCCATCTGGCAGCTCTTCACTAGGATCGAGTACACCCTTTTCCCTCTGAAGAGACTTGAAGGGAGTGAGCAAACGAGTCCACGCAGCCTTATTCAATGAGTGGCGCAGCATTTCTCGGGACAGCTTCTCTCCAACGGGAGCAGTCACCACAGCCTTGCCCCAGTTAGAGGCATCTGTCGTATAAAGCTCTTCATAGAAGCTAGAGCGAATATTGGTGACATGGGGCTAGGCAAACGCACAACACTAACTCATCGACCAGTGCTTCACTGAGAGGAATCACATGCTTGGGATCCAAACCGCCCGGTAGCTTGTAGATTTCAGTAAGCAAACTGAAAAGGCTGCGCCGAAAAGAAAACACTGAAATGAAGACCCCAGCCACTGTTTCCAAAAGTGATATGGAAGCACACCCAATGCGTATCACGCGGCAAACTACGGCAAGCATCGGGATGACACGCTGAGGGTTGGCCCGAATAAGACCAGCTCTTCCATCCACATGGGCTCCCCAGAAGGTAGCTTCAGTAGAAGCACGAAAGGATTTCTTGGGATGGGTCTGAAGTCCTACAAACTTATACTGCCTGTCCATTGCTGCAATCCTTGTGCATGCATCTGCGGACATACTGCTATTCCAGTTGAGATCTCTCAGCACTTTTTCCATGTACACCTGATCATCAATTATGATCCCAGTGATGAACCTATCCCGTGGCACCCGCCCCCTCAGTGTAAGGAGCTGCTGCAAAGTGAAAGCACCAGACCTGGTTCCTAACGAAAGGTGGCAGTCGCCCATAGCTAGGCTTCGCAGGCATGCATATGCCACGCAGTCATCTGGGATATCCTTCGGACAAGCTTTGAGCTTCTTTGCCTCACGACCAGTCATGCTGCCAACAAGGAAATTCCTATGGGCACGTGCATCTCCGACGATGAACTTATAGTAGTAATCAACCAAATCGTCGCCCCCCATTACCAGATCCGCTTCTGGTTCCAAGCTAAGGTCAAGTAGTTTGCTTGCCGAAGCCATTGACAGGAGCCATCTGAAGAGGAGGTTGGAGAAGATTGGGCCTTCTGCCATCGAGTCATCCTATCGAATTGCAAATCCTTAATGACACTAAATAGACCATTAGGTGCGAACTCCCTCACTTGATCGGCTGTGGCTATGGTTAAGCGATTGGTGCGATCAAGCTTGTGAAGCAGCTGCATCTTCTCACGATGGGTGGCATGCACTTTAACAACTGGAAAGGGCACATCTACTTCGGAAGGATCTAAAGCTTGTCCCACTGGGTCCTGGTACAGGATCTTGCTCCGGGTATCGAAGTAGGGTAGAGGGTTGAAAGTTGGCTCGCCCTCCATCTTGATCCTGTCTGCTACAATCGGTTGTGCGACTTCGAGGTTGCTGGTTTGCAACCGGGTGATCGGTTCAGCTGGCTCCTGCACCTTAGGCATCGATCGGGGTTTGCTCCGTTGGTAACCTAAGTGCAGGTTGCATTCACTGGCTACAATCTCCAAGGTGTTAAGCACCTCCTCTAGCGCTTCATGTTTTGATGCTCCTCGGCCCATATCACTAGGCTCGATCACAGGGAAATTCTCCCAAGCTGAGCTTAACCGGATGAATCGATCGACGACTTTCAACTGCTGCCGGTTGAGCTTCACTCCCAACCGGATTGCGTCAAGACAACACCGAGGCCTGCCTAGAAGCAAAAATCCCAGAAAGATACCAATTACCAAGGACGGCCAGTGAATGGATGAGCTTGATGGCCACAGCCCGACACTATCGCCAGGCAGAATGGATGGATCCCAGGGCTCAGAGGTGGTTGACAGCACAAGATCTTTCGCCAGCCAGCCTAATAGTGCACCGGCAGACAAGGCCAAGTCGCGCATGCGGCCCCCCACTTAAGCCTAGAAGCTGTCGTCATTCGCAGATATTTCATGAAAGGGCCTTACATTACATTACAGTGCATTAAATTACATTACATACATACATTAATACATACATACATACATACATACATACATACATACATACTTACATACATACATACATACATTAATACATACATACATACATACATACTTACATACATACATACATTACATACCATACATACATACATACATTACAATACATTACATTACATTACATTACATTACATACATACATACATAACATACATACATACATACATACATACATACATACATTCATACATACATACATATATGCACACATTACATTACATTACATTACACTACGTTACATACATTACACACATACATGCATTACATTACATTACATTACATTACATTACATTACATTACATTACATTACATTACATTACATTACATTACATTACATACATACATACATACATACATGCACACATACATACATACATACATACATACATTACATTAAGTTACATTACATTACATTACAGTACGTTACATTACATACATTACATTACATTAACTTTCATTACATTACATTACATACATACATTACCTACATCATGCATACATACATACGTACATACATACATACATACGAACATTACATACATACATACATACATACATACATACATAACATAACATACATACTTACATACATGCATACATGCGAACATTACATTACATTACATTACATTATATTACATTGCATTACTACATTACATTACATTATCTTACACTACATTACATTACATTACATTACACTACATTACATTACACTACATACACACATTACATTACATTACATTACATTACTACATTACACTACATTACATTACACTACATTACATTAGATTAAATTACGCTACATTACCTTACGCTACATACACACATTACATTACATTACATTACATTACATTACGTTACATACATTACACACATACATGCATTACATTACATTACATTACACTACATACATACATTACATACATACATACATTCATACATACATTGCATACATACATACATACACACATACAATGCAACTCAATACATTACAATCCATTGCGCTACATTACATACATACATACATTACACACATCATACATACATACATACATAAATACATTACAGTACATTACATTACATTACATTACAATACATTACATACATTACATACATCATACACACATACATTCATACATACATACATACATACATATGTACATACATACATACTTACTTACATTACATACATTAAAATACATACATTACATTGCATTACATTACATTACCTTACATTCATTTACATTACATTAGATTACATAACATTACATTACATTACATTACATACAGACATACATAAGTTACATTACATTACATTACATTGCATTGCGTTCTATTACATTACAGTACATTACATACATACTTACATAAATACATACATACATTACACTACACTACACTACACTACATTACATTACATTACATTACAGTACATTACATTATATTACATTACATACATACATACATACACACATGGTGGTGCTGCGTGCTGCGGTGCTGCTAGTTGCTGCTGCTTGCATGTACGTGTCCTCCACAGACAGCTTGCGGAGCTGGTGCTGCTGGCGCTTGGTGCACTGGCACCGGGGTAGTTATCTCTGCGCAACATGCATGACGACAAGCAAAACACATACATGCATCCTTCTTTCCATAGCGGCACTTTCTACACGCCATGTCTACACACAAATAAGCGTGCGCGCATACAGCGCCACACATACTTACAAATCTACATATGTACCTACATGCATGGCAGTGCTGTGTGTAGTGTGACGCTGCTAGTTGCTGCATGCATGTGTCTGTGGTCCACAGAACTGTCGCAGAGGAACCCGCCGGGCCAGAAGGGCACAAGGTCGGGCGCGGTCTGTGCGTGTGTGTGTGTGTGCACGTGTATGTGTGTGGGAGAGAGAGAGAGAGAGAGAGAGAGAGAGAGAGAAAAAAAAAAAAGAAAGAAAGAGAAAATATCTTAATGGAAGGCTGGTGTTTGAAGTGCTGCTCTTAAGAAAGCCGAAGAGAAGCCAATAGTTAGGATTCATTTTCACCGCAAGCAAGCAATTTGGTACAAAAGGAGATTACTGAGTTTCCAAGACGTAGCCATTTCGGCCGCAACACCCTGGCAAACCCCTCCCTGATCGCAATCATCAAGGGGACGTAGTTGCCGTGACACCAAACATCAGCAACTGAAAAGCGAGAATCACTACCCCCAAGCAAATTTAGGAGGGTGCGCCGTGCTGCTGCGTACTTGAGGCGCAGAGCCCGTCTCCCAAAGCAGGAGACTTTGGCCCCCAACGCCCGCACCGTTTGCAAAGCGGCCCGGGCATCCAACCCAAGCCGCACGAGTTTGTAATATCGTGCTTCTTTTGGTTTGGAGCAACCTTTCCCAGCGCGATTGCATGGGGTAAAGGAAAGCACTGTCTGTTCCTCATATGAATTGCGCCGAGCCAGTGGGGAATTGCTTGCGTTGCTGTTTAAAGCTCCGTTTTTTGAGCCCCCAATCGTCTGTCAAGCATTTTGATTTGCTGGAGGCCGCGCGTTGCCTGGGAACCACATGAGGAATGCTCTTTTCAAAGCCGACGGGGGAGGGGTCCTTAGTATGTTGCTCATTTTCGGTTGCAGGCTCTTGAAAAGTTAGTTTCGGAGGAAACGTTGCAACCAGTACGCGCGGGTTGCCTGATGCAGTTGCTCACAGAAGCTTCTCCTGGGACACTTGCTTGGATCGGGGTTGCCGCTCTTAAGCTTTCACTGGGGGCTCGTGGAAGGGCAAGCCCGCAGTTTGCAACAGCTTCTGAAGACGGAAGCTAGCTGCCGAATTTTGGGGAAGGGGGGGGGTCGCAGAGCGCGCAGTGTTTGCAGAGAGACAAGACCCAACAAGCAGAAGCTACACCGATGGAAGCAGAGCAAGGGCGCAGCAGACTACGATCCTGAGCCACACACCAGACGGACCGCAACAAAGGAACGTAAGCGCCTAAAGCCGAAAAGTCGATGGGGTCCGCTGGTTGACACGCGACGTCCAGAAGAGAGTCCAAGGAAGGCAGCTGCGAAAAAAGGACCCAGCACCGACTGTGTGGAGAAGCGATGCGAGATGCCAGACAGACGCAGCAAGATGATGAAGGCAAGGGCTAGACGAACTTCGTCTGACACCGTGGCTTGGGGACAAGGAGCTAGAGCAAAACAACAGCCCACGAACAAAGAATCCAAGAAGTCACGCCAATCTTCCACACACACACACACCCACACCCCACACCCGCACATCAACAGCAAACAAACAAAACGCAGAAACAGCAAAACATGAAGTTCTCGTCAACCGAAATCGAAGAAGTGATGCAATCATCCCCTGCACACCAAAAAAGCAATCAACCACACAGAAACACCAAACAATGGAGTTTGTCCCACGAACAGCTGTGGGCGGTGGTCCAACTACATTGAGCATGGACCAGTTTGTGTTCAGGGTTAACACAACGTCAACAGGAAACCGACCGTTCTGTTTTGCGATCTGAGCCCTAAATGGGATGTAAGAGCAACATAATGCAACTGTTACACGGCTTTTTCATGTGTATATATATATATATATATGTATATATATATATATATATATATATATGATGTTTGAAAAGTTGTTTACAATGGAAAACCCAGATGTTGAGAGGACCCTCCAAGGGAAATCCAACAGCAATTCTAAAATGGGGGTTGCAAGCACCCCTGGGGGGGGGGGGACGGCGCCCTGGTATCAAAGTTGGAACAAACCAGCCTACTTCCCAAGAAATAGCAGCCAACATTTGCCAAGTCGTCAGTGAGGCTAGAACTTGCCTAAATACACAATAACCTCAAAGCAAATCACTACAAGCCACAACCCTGAAATAAGGAATTCATCATGGACGAGCGTTTTACGCTCGCTATAATTTCTCCAGAACAAATGGAAGCAACTGGGGCTCAGGCATGAAGCTACCCATGTTGGTGTTGTTCAGGGAAAACCACCAGGCAAAACCAATTTTATTCCTCAGCCTTTGCCCCAAACCAAAATTAATGCTGTTTGATTTTGGTCCATAGTCCGCCTTAAGACGTAACATGATTTCACAAGAGATTCCAGAGAAAATGAGTTGCGAAACCCCTCTGGCCCCCGACTCTGGGCTCCGTGACTCAACCAACAAGGTTTTAAGATGACAAACTTCAAATGGGCATTGGTGTCCCCAACTGAATGCGGATTGCCTTTTGGCTTCCCTTTCCCGCAAGGGTACCCCCAAACTTCCATGCGCTTAAGCCCCGAAAAAATGCACAAATATGTCCAGTAGTGATACATGCCCTTTCAAACCAACAAAGGGAGCAAAACAAAAAGCAAGTTCGTTTCAGCAAATGGAAGCTCAAAAGACAGGCCCAAATTCGCAGCAACCGGTCCTCCGAAAAGCCCAGGCTTGTCATGCAGTCCAGCACCGCCCCGAAGTCCGCGGCATCGTCCACCCCGGCAATGTCCGCGCACTCCTATGCGCCAAGGCCAGCTGGACCTAGACCCGACTTTTGTATGTTCAAAGGAACTGAATCTGGGGACTCCCGCTCATTCAGTTGAACATGGACCCTTTTTGTTGGACGCTCAAGGACCTTCAGCATGTTTGGCTGTCTTTGTGAGGCTACGTTGTTGTGGGTTCAAGGGCAATGGGGGTTCCCTGAAAACAGGAGGACCCTTTTGGGATCTTCAGGTTCCCCCAGCCTTGGGATCCCTCAAACTACGCGCTCCCATCGGAGATCCCTTCGGAGCCTTGCTGTACTCGAACTCCGAGGCCGGGCGCAGCTTGAGGCTCTCAGGCACCCGGCCCTGCGAGCGCTAGCTCTTCAGCCCGGTTTCACCCAGGCTGCGGGACATTTCGAGAGTGGTTGATTTCTTTGGACCATGTTGTGAGCACCCAGTTTTGCTGCTTGTGTGTGTGGCGAATTTGGTGAGTCCTCTGGTTGCTTCAACATTCCCAGCGCTTCCAGGCGGTTCGCCACGACAGTAAGCAGCCAAAGGAAACCAGCGTCAAAAAGAAACAACAAACTGGAGGCAAGCCATGTTTACTGACCATTATTTTCCCACCATATATGGTTGTAGCTGGAAGCACCGGGCCGGCCCTGTTCCCTTGAGGCGATTGGTGCTTTGGTGATCCCTATTCCATTGTGTTCAAGGGGTTCTTCTGCCCGGGTGACGCAATGATGGACTGACACCCGGTGGCTTTCTGCAAGGACATGCAAGCCCGCCCTGTTCATTGATCTACGCTCCTGCAAATTAAGATGGAACCCAAAACAAGGCTCCTCGAAAGGAGGTTCTTATACAATCATGGGTTTTTCGGCTTCCGTGCGAATCCGCAAACAGTAAACGGAAAACCCGGGCACTGTTTAAGGAAACAGCCGGTTCTATGGGACAATTTCAGCTTCCGGATTCAGAATTTGTGGCTGAAAAGGGAGGCGTACATGCGATTGACCTTGTATGGATCAGATTCATCCTGGATGTTTGGAGGGCTTGAACTTTGCCCAGGTTTTCATCGCTTCACTTTTGTGCCAACTCTGAGCTCCTCAAGAGCTGCATGACAAAGCTGGTAGAAGAAGTGATAGTTCCGCTCCTGGCAAGCGGTAAGGCCGTCATGCCCCCCCCCCCCCAAAGCCTCAAAAGATCTGAAAACCAGACAATTGCGTGGCAAGAGGGCGAAGGTTACCTCAAAAGATACCAGGTTAGCATCACAAGTCAACCACTTCAATGCTACCCTTCGTGCCTCTAAACAAATTAGTCAAGGCTGTCGAAGTCCAAGGCCGAGCGTGGGGTTTAGGAAATCAGGCTGAAGAAGAACGGGACCGAATGAATTTCCTCTTCCCGTGCCATTATCTTGGGGGCCCATGCGTCCGCAAACTGGAAGCTGTAAAATATGACCCAAATATGTCTGTCCTCCGAATGGGCTAGATGTTGGTATATATGGTACAGCGTTGCCAGCCCCCCCCCCCTGTGGTTGTGGTCCTGTGGTTGGGTTGTGGTGGTTCAGGGTTGGTTTAGGGTTGGTTTAGGGTGTATTTAGGGTGTATTTAGGGTTGGTTTAGGGTGGTTTAGGTGTAGAGGTTTACGGTTTGGGGTTTGGTTTAGGGTTTGGTTTAGGGTGTATTTAGGGTTGGTTTAGGGTTAGTTTAGGTTTAGGGTTTATTGTTTAGGGTTTGGTTTAGGGTGTATTTAGGGTTGGTTTAGGGTGTATTTAGGGTTGGTTTAGGGTTAGTTTAGGGTTGGTTTAGGGTTAGTTTAGGGTTGGTTTATGGCTTGTTGCGGGCTGGCTTGTCCTGGGGGTGGGGGTGCCGGGGTGTCGGGGTGCGAGTTTAGGGGGTCGGGGTGAGAGTGGGACCGTAGGTGCCAGGATCCGGGGGCTCGGCGTCTCGGGTTGGGGGGGGGGGGGGTGAGGGGGTCCTGGGGGACCCATACCATGGGGGGGGGGGG